CCTTTCTAATTAGGATAGTGCCTTGCAAAGTGCAGAGCCCTTGAGAAGTAAATGATGATACTTCAAATATCACACTTGAGGCACTGTTAAGATTCAGCTGTAAACGCAGCATATGAAAAGAATCATCCACCAAGATCAAGTGGGATTCATTCCTGGGTTACAGGGCTGGTTCAACATTTGCAAATCAATCAATGTAATAAATCATATCAATAAAAGAAAAGATAAAAACCATATGATCCTGTCAATAGATGCAGAAAAAGCATTTGACAAAATACAGCATCCCTTCTTAATAAAGACTCTCGAGAAAGTTGGGATAGAAGGAACCTACTTAAACATCATCAAAGCCATCCATGAGAAGCCTTCAGCTAACATCATCCTCAACGGGGAAAAACTGAGAGCTTTCCCCCTGAGATCAGGAACACGACAGGGATGTCCACTCTCACCACTGTTGTTTAACATAGTGCTGGAAGTCCTAGCATCAGCCATCAGACAACAAAAGGAAATCAAAGGCATCAGAATTGGCAAAGAGGAAGTCAAACTTTCACTCTTCGCAGATGACATGATACTCTACATCGAAAACCCGACAGACTCCACCAGAAGCCTACTAGAACTGATCCAAGAATTGAGCCAAGTTGCAGGGTACAAAATCAACGTACAGAAATCGGTTGCATTTTTATACACCAATGATGAAGCAACAGAAAGAGAAATCAAGAAACTGTTCCCATTCACAATTGCACAAAAAACCATAAAATACCTCGGAATAAACCTAACCAAGGATACAAGAGATCTGTATGATGAAAACTATAGAAAACTTATGAAGGAAATTGAAGAAGACACAAAGAAATGGAAAAACATTCCATGCTCATGGATAGGAAGAATAAATATAGTTAAGATGTCATTACTACCTAAAGCACTCTACACATTCAATGCAATTCCAATCAAAATTGCACCAGCATACTTCTCAAAACTAGAACAAACTATCCAAAAATTTGTATGGAACCACAAAAGACCCCGAATAGCCAAAGTAATACTGAAAAATAAAACCAAAACGGGAGGTATCACCATCCCAGACTTTAACCTCTACTACAAAGCTGTCATCATCAAGACAGTATGGTATTGGCACAAAAACAGACCCATAGACCAATGGAACAGAATTGAGAACTCAGAAGTGGACCCAAAAGTATACAGCCAACTGATCTTTGACAAAGCAGGAAAGAATATCCAATGGAAAAAAGACAGCCTTTGTAACAGATGGTGTTGGGAGAATTGGACAGCAACATGCAGCAGAATGAAACTAGATCATTTTCTCACACCATGCACAAAAATCAATTCAAAATGGATGAAGGACCTGAACGTGAGACAGGAAACTATCAACACCCTAGAGGAGAAAGCAGGAAACAACCTCCTTGACCTCCACCGCAGCAACTTCTTACTTGACACATCCCCAAAAGCAAGGGAATCAAGAGCAAAAATAAACTGTTGGGACCTCATCAAGATTAAAAGCTTCTGCACAGCCAAGGAAACAACCCAGAAAATTAATTGGCAACCAACGGAATGGGAAAAGATAGTTGCAAATGACATATCAGATAAAGGGTTAATATCCAGAATCTATAAGGAACTCACCAAACTACACGCCCGAAAAACAAACAACCCAGTGAAGAAATGGGCAGAAGACATGAACAGACACTTCTCCAAAGAGGACATCCAGATGGCCAACAGACACATGAAACGATGCTCAGCATCCCTCCTCATCAGGGAAATACAAATCAAAACCACACTGAGATACCACCTCACGCCAGTCAGAGTGGCTAAAATGAGCAAATCAGAGAACTCAAGATGCTGGCGAGGATGTGGAGAAACGGGCACCCTCCTACACTGTTGGTGGGAATGTAAACTGGTACAGCCCCTCTGGAAAACAGTGTGGAGGTTCCTCAGGAAACTAACAATAGAACTCCCCTATGACCCAGCAATAGCACTGCTAGGAATTTACCCAAGGGATACAGAAAAGCTGAGGCATAGGAGCACATGTACCCCAATGTTCATAGCAGCACTCTCCACAATAGCCAAAACATGGAAAGAGCCTAAGTGTCCATCAATGGACGAATGGATCAAGAAGATGTGGTTTATCTATACCATGGAATACTACATGGCAATGAGAAAAAATGAAATCTGGCCATGTGTAGCAACATGGATGGACCTTGAGGGTGTGATGCTGAGCGAAATAAGTCAGGAAGAGAAGGACAAATATCATATGTTTGCATGTATAGGAGGATTAGGAGGAACTTGACGGAGGAACAAGGGGGAGAAGAAGGGCGGAAATGGTGGGGGAAAGGGAGAGAGGCAAACCATGAGAGAACTCTTGAATGCTGACAAAAACTGAGGACTGATGGATGTGGGGGGGAGGGGCGGATGGGCATGGAGGAGGACACTTGTGGGGATGAGCACTGAGTGTTATGTGGAAACTAATTTGACAATAAACTATTTGTAAAAAAAAAAAAAAAAAGATTCAGCTGTAAATGATTAAGATGCTACTCGAGTTACTGTTTCATATCTCAAAGAAAACTGCATCAGGTTCTGATCCAAAATGACCACATGGACCTCACATGACCATCCCACACTCAAGATCCTAAGGCTAAACTTCTACTCCTTCCAGCTGTTAAGAGTTCAGAAATGTTATTCCTATGTGCTTATTTTCCTTCATGCAGTGAAAATAAAATAGAATGGATATCCAAGGGGTGACAGAAAAAAAAGAAGCAGGTTTTAAACTGTATTTCCATAGTTGATAAATAAGGGCTCCCAATGGCAATTTTGTTTTCCTTTTTATTATCCTTAGTATTTTTAGACTATATAATCTAAAATTTTATTTCGGTTGACCTTTTGATGCTCTCTGGTAGCATGTTTTATCTTTTTTACATAAAAATTATTAAGTAGGAATTTTAAAATGTTTACTAATTACTTGGATTCTTAACTCTAATAAAAGTCACATCTAAGTAATTAGAGTGTGTCTGGTTTTAAATATGGGTCACTTAGCAACAAGCTTAATTGTGTAGGGCTGAGAATACTTCTAAGATGCTTTAAAGAAAACATACTAGAAAAACACAGTTCCAGTGTGCCCGATGCTGCGAACTGATGCACAGCAAGCCAATCATCAAGTTTTGAAGACGTCAAAGTAAATGAGATGTCTCGGTGTTCCTTTTCTGTGTGTGGTCCAGCACGCACAGCCTTGAAGTATCCATAGGAGACATCAACAAACATCAGAGGAACTCAACATAACAAATGAGTATGAATCCAAAAGAGTAAAAAATGTCTTTTGGCCCTCTAAAGCCAGCATTTAGACCTAATTTTAATGATTATGTAGATTAACTCACTATATGCAGTTCTTCAATAATGGCATTAATTTTTTATGCAGGCTGATTTTATTTTTTAAATAGTGTCCACTGTGATGTAGATTGAAAATAACCATGAAAGCCAGTTTTCAAAGTTTAGGTTGTTATAGACCTGTGAACTTCCTACAGAATAAGAATATAGATTTCTATTCACTTCTTTTGTTACATTTGAGCAATACTGAATACAATGGCCAGTGGATAGGGAGAATCGTTACTTGAATTCTTTCACAGACCTACAGCTGATATGATGAAATGGAGTTCCTAAGACACATGGAGGGAAAGCCCAAAATTTGGGATCAGACCAACAAAAGTTTGTCTTACAGCTCTACCCCTTGTTTACTTTTTGACTCTGGGTAAGCTACTTAATCTCTTTAAACCTCATTTACTTTATTCATCCAGAAAAACAGAATCATAATACCTTGTTGTAGGGGTGACATAAAAATTAAAACAGATGCATATTTATCGTGTAAGCCATTGAAATGAGGAGGAAGTTGTTAATTCAGCGTGGCCTGACCTGGCCTGACTAGTGCAATACAACAGCATGCAAAAAATGCTTAGACCACCATGCTGTCACAAATGATAGTTATCACACAGAGTCCCATTGATTCTTTTTATAAATTAAATGCAGAGCATGAATTCTCCAGGCTTCCTATATATCATGCTCTCCTAAGAACGTATTTCTATACACTTGGGTGCTACAGGCTAAGAGAAGCCTTATACCCTACAGAAATTCTAGCACATTGGCAGAAGAATTCATGTTCAAAATATTCACTGAGCATTGCTGTTCATCTTTGAAAACCAGAAAAATTAAAATGTTTATCTACAGGAAGATGACAAATTTTGATGTCTTCACTCAACCATTCTATTCAGATAAACCACAAAAACATAGGTAAAAACTAAAATGAAATAAAAATAAGTTGCAGAATGGTATTTATAATATAAACCACTTACATAAAATTTTAAAGCACAGCATCTATATACATAAGAATATATATATATATATACACACATACTTGATAACTGTATGATAACATGCACAGAAATGGCAAACATCAAACTCAGGACAGGAGTTATCTCTAAAGGAGGAAGCAAGGCAATGAGGTCAGGCAGGTGTACACAGAGGACTTCAACTCTATCCAAAATGTTTTACCCTTCCAAAAACGAAATAAGAGTAGAGCAAAGATCGCAAAATATTCAGATTCTCTAGAGCCGGCAAGTAGGCATGTCGAGTTTATTATATTACTCTTTCCATTTTCTGGATATTTGAAACATTTCACAATAAAAAGCCACAGCTTTCCCAGGCATATAAGTAATGACAAGCAACTTCCCAAAACAAACAATAGATGTTTAAGAAATACTCGGAAGATGAAGAAGGACAGGGATGGTGGAGGTGGGAGAGGTGGTGAAAGAGATAAAAGGGCTGGGTATAAAAGAGACAGTACTCTCTGACTCTTTGAAACCAGGAAGATAATTTCCCCCCCCCCAACAGTTAACAAAAGAATTTAGCTATATAAGATCTAAAGAGGATAAAAGTGATTAATTGTTAATTAAAAAATTAGATTACTATACAGTGTGTACATTATCTAAAAACATATTTAAGGTTAAAATACTTACTGCAACCCCACTCTTGGTGGTAGTTTCTTTGTATGTGAAGTTGCAAATTGCCCAGGCTAAATAATATGTAGACATGAGAGGGGTCTGTGAAAAGTGATCCGTAACCCATCCATCTTCCTCAAACACGGAAGTTTCCACTGGCATATTGGATAAAGATAAATAAGTTGCTTGATGCTTGATGCTAATTTTGAAAGTAGCCTTGTATATTGGCTCGTCAAAACAAGGAAATGCCTTTCTGGCATGTGTAGGTGAAAACTGAGTAACACCAAGGAACCTGGAAAAAAGAAAATGACATTCTCAGTTACATTTATGGCTTGAGTTAAGTTATGCCCATTTTATATGCTTCTGCTGATAAAACAATATATTTTTACCGAATCACAAGGTACTTCTTCTGAACCAAACTTAAGTGCATGAATAGCATGAAAGGACAATTCATGTATATTTCCCCAACAATAAAATTCTTTCAGGGAAGTTTTTGTCTCAGTTAAAATAAAGTCTCTAAACCCAGACCAGTACTTTTTTGACAAAATAAGATACTTTATAGAAAAACAACTTATTGGCATCACATTGGCAAATACTGGGAAATAATGGTTCTCTTTTTTATTTGCCCCCATTTTCTCTTCTAAAGCTATAGAAGTAAAGACAGTGAAACCAAAAATCTGATATTGTCATCAGATACACGGAGAATATAGACCATCAATTGGAAACATCTGTGCCTTCAAATTTCAGCAAGACGTGATCTGATTTTGTTAAGGAAACTTTGAAACCTGACAAAAGATGGTTGAAATTCTGGATTCACAACATTCTCAACCATATCATCTTGGATGATTACTAAATTTCCCTAAGGTGTAGATGTTCATTGCTTGAAAGGAAATAATCAAGCCTAACTTTTAAAAAGCATTGTAAAGTGTACAATACTTTTTATAGGAGAAGGGTGTAGAGCACCTATCACTGTGAAATATGAAGAGCAACCATCAGACAGTTAATAAATGGCAGCCCCAGCCAATAAAAGGCAGCCTCTGATTCACAATATCTTTAACTTTACTTGGAGTGTTTTAACACGTGTTTATATTGAATAATCCAGAGAATATTAATTTTTACTACCCATATATTTATTACATAAATTATAACTTTGATATTATTATGTTAAATTTATTTTTTTAATGTTTTTATTTATTTATAGGAGAGAGAGAGAGACAGGGTGAGCAGAGGAGGGTCAGAGAGAGAGGGAGTCACAGACTGAAACAGGCTCCAGGCTCTGAGCTGGCAGTCAGCACAGAGCCCGACGCGGGGCTCGAACCCACGAACTGTGAGATCATGACCCAAGCGAAAGTCGGCCGCTTAACCGACTAAGCCACCCAGGCGCCCCTGATATTATTATGTTAATATAATAAATATCTACATCATAAACATGGCAATGTGTGAATATGTGTATATATATATATATAAAGTACCTTGAAGTTTTCAGATCAAGCTGCAAAGTTGTATCCATTAAAACCCTAACTAGAAGCACCCTCTACGTTCTTTCACAGTTACAGTTACAAATGAAAATACTCAAACTAAGCACACTCTTTTAAAAAAGGAGACCATTATTTATGAAAACATTCATGACATGAGTCAATTAAACTTTTCTGATACTACTATAAAACTTATAAACTCAATATAAGGCAATTCAATATCAGATTCTTCATAAAACATTACTGAGTACTGAACTCATTTCTTTAAAAGGCTCTTTCCTGAGGTGACTGGGTGGCTTAGTTTGTTAAGCGTCCAATTTCAGCTCAGGTCACAGTCTCACAGTTTGTGAGTTCAAGCCCCACATCGGGCTCTCTGATGACAGCTCAGAGCCTGGAGCCTGCTTTGGATTCTATGTGTCCCTCTCTCTCTCTCTCTCTCTGTCCTTCCCCCACTCATGTTCTGTTTCTCTCTCTCAAAAATCAACACTAAGAAAATATACAAAAGGCCCTTTCCCCTATAAGTTGTTCTTCCACCACTCCTCTCTCCATTCTCTACAGTGTTCATGGTTAATCCAGCATGGCTCATTTCCCACTGAGCCCAAACTTCGCTTCAAAATTATTCTTAGCATAGCACTTGAGGCAGCTACTTCCAATTAATAGTTGATATGTGCATTGAATCTTATTGGCTCTCCCTAGCTCAACCATCAGATGTAAAAGTTTATACCATTTTAACATTATGAAGCTTACTGACAGCCTACTTTTTTTAAACTTAGTTTTGAAATGGAGAAAAATAAGACATTTTAAAGATTAATTATATACTTAGTCTCAGAGAGGATTCTTAGGAGTTATCTTGGAAACAATACTGGGTCACTACAGAGCAGGCTTCGGTAATTCCTGAGCCTATATTTTCATTAGTAGAAGGAAAATAATAATGTTTTCTAGGCCTTCCATCCAAAACTGTCAAGATGATAAAATGATATAATATATGAGAAAGTTTTAACTACAAGTTTCAGAAGAATATAAGGTTAAAGTTGGAAGCAATCTTAGAAACAAATTGTCCAGTTTTCATAAATTTCTAAAAGGAAATAGTAGTTCCAGTAGGGTTAAGTGATTTGTCCACAGTTTATACTAGCAATCAGTACATAGCTGTGTCTAGCAGTCACATTTTCTGCATCTGAGTAAAAAATAATTGAATTTCAAATACAGTAAAATGAATCATTAGCCATAATTTATAAATAATGTTTTAATTCAACTATTGGTAACAAAGTTTCTTCTTTCCAAATTTGCACGTACTATGTTAATATTTTTCCTTACGGTTTTCTATTGACAGTAATACACTTTTCTTTAATGAAATGTCGGTACCTTTTAGTTAAAATATACCCATTTACAACTTCTCTCCATGTGCTTTTGTCCTACATAATGTTCTCTTATCTTGTCTTTCCATCTTATTAATTGAAATGTCCACTGAGTTTGATATTTCTCTCCTGAGCCATTTAAAATTTATGTACAGGATTTCATATGATGAAAAAGTGTTCCTTTTTAACTTTCAAGTATCTGAGAACTCCAATTGCACCACCGAACAAATAGACGTGGTCTGCTGTGTATGAGCTTTTCACTATATTAAGTACGTGGTAGGATTTTTTAAAAAATATAACCACTTTTGCCCTTAAGGTCTTTGCAATCTAACTGAAAAGAAAAATATATATACATATACATAAAAAACAGTAACAATATTGGGGGGAAAGTTCTACCAGAGTTCAACAGAGGGGACACAATTAGAATATATCAGTCATTAAGTAAAAATCAAAGGTATGTTTGGCATTAAGCAATTAATGGGTAGGAATTTATTAGATGTAGAAGATTAAATACCTCTGGGTTAATGAGAAATTTAATAAACCAAATATTTATACAGAAGAATCACGTTGTACAGCCTCTTTTCACCTTACATACTATGTAAATATGTTAGTAAAGCAAGCAATTTAAACCACTGATTCTCAGGATGGAAAGGGATATAAAGATCATCTAGTGACTTTTCCTGCAATTAATATTCTTAATGAATACACACACACAGTATATATCTATGCACAGAGGGCCACCATATATTCTGATAATGTCTAAATGAGGAAATACCAATTTCACAGTCTGGCAACTGAGGACGATTGCAATGGAATTTCAATTCAGTATTTAGAAAATCAAAAGAAGTCCCTTGGTGAAGAAGAACAGTTGGATGAGATTACTTTTTAGGTCTTTTCCAAGCTCGAGATCCTATAACTGTTCAAAATTCAGAAATAAAATATTCTCTCTATTCGATGAGATATTTTTAACGGTAAATTAACACTACCACTAAATAGCTTTTTACTACAAGCTCTATAATGCATTTGCTTCTCTTAATCATCGTTCTTGACTGTTCAATACTGTAAAGAAAGAGAAAAATACATATACATCATTCCCTCAAGGAGCTTATACTCTAATAAAAGAAATTAAACAAATGCCTAAACAGGTATTATACAAAAAGCCATGACAAAGAAGGAAAATGTATGAAGAAATTACATTGTCCTGAAGCAAGGCTTCTCAATCTTGCCACCACTGAATTTAAAGTTGGATAATTATTCTTTTTGGGGGGCTGTCCTCTACACTTTAAAATGTTGAACAGCATCCAGGGCCTCTACCACTAGATGCCAGTAGCATTTCCCAACCAGTTGTGACAACCAAAATGTATCCAGACATTGCAACAGTATGGGGGGTGGGGGGTGGGCAGGGCAAAATTTACCCAGTGAAGAACCACCAGCTTTTTAAGAACTGAAGAGACTTTATGGAGGAAGAAGCCTAAGAATTGATCTTAAAGTCTGGCTAGTATTTTAAAGGTCAGAAGCAGCTGGTGAAGTGAGCAAGTTGACGCTAAGCTGCACAGAAATAAGCCTTTAAAAAAAGTATCGACTCACTTATTAAGTTAGTGAGCTGTCTGTTCTCTTACAGATTCTCATTTTATCAGGTCTCGGCATTGCTGGTCCATCTCTAACACCTCTCTCACCCTTGATATTGTCCTGTCTAACAAAGAGACCTAGTTCAAGGCTTAGTACCCTCAACAAAAACAGGTTCTGATGGATTTCAAAAATAGAATTCTGTCTTCATTGTATGTATTTTAGGGTTGCCTTCGACTGGTGGAAGTGAGACGTCTTTTCTGCTTACTGACATTAAAAACAGCAGAGAGGCCTTTAAAGAAGGTGATTGGAGTAGAAAATAATGAATTTGGGTTTTGAGTAAATTCGAAGTAAGTTTAAGTTGGTAGCAGGACACCAGATAGGAGAAATACAAAAATATAATTAAAAATAGAAAACATTTTAATACAGTATGGATCCGAAACATGTACGCAAATGCAGCAAGAAGTAATATAAAACAGCAGGAAGCCGAAGGTAATAGGGACAAGTAGTTCGTTTTCGGTTTTTCTCCTGCTTCTTTAAACAAAATCGTTTTTATTTTTTAATGAATCTATTACCATAAAAAGTTCCACTTCCAAAAGTGACATCTAGAAGCACCATTCCAAGAATGTCACTTTAGCATAACTAGAAAAACATAAATAATATACATGTATTTTAATTCACTTCTAAAATAAATTACTTTATTTCTTAACAACTTGCCTATTTGACATTTTGGTTGAGCTGAGGAGGGCATAAAGTTCTGTGTTGCTTCTGAAGGATACAGAGAATTGATTTCTTCTTATTTCTGCGGAAGTTCACTAGGCAAGCTACTTGTGTCAAGTCATTATGATAAGACTCAGCAGAAGTAATGCATTAACGTTGGTTGATATTGCCAACAA